ACAATTTCGCAGATCGCAGCCCCCCAGGGACGGCGAGGTCCCGCTCACATCTGCGTGGTGCCTCACTCCGCAGGACCCACCAGCAGCCCTCGAAAGTGGCGACGGTTTCGCACATCGCAGCCCCCCAGGGACGGCGAGGTCCCGCTTAGATCTGCGCGGTGCCTCACTCCGCAGGACCCACCAGCAGCCCTCGAAAGTGGCGACAGTTTCGCAGATCGCAGCCCCCCAAACACAGCGAGGTCTCGCTTAGATTTGCGTGGCGCCTCACTCCGCAGGACCCACCAACAGCCCTCGAAATTGGCGACATGTTCGCAGATCGCAGCCCCCCAGGCACGGCGAGGTCCCGCTAAAATTTTGCGCGGTGCCTCACTCCGCTGGACCCACCAGTAGCCCTCGAAATTGGCGACAATTTCGCAGATCGCAGCCCCCCAGGGACGGCGAGGTCTCGCTCAGATCTGCGCGGTACCTCACTGCGCTGGACCCACCAGCAGCCCTCGAAAATGGCGACGGTTTCGCAGATCGCAGCCCCCAGAGACGGCGAGGTCCCCCTCAAATGTGCGCAGTGTCACTCCGCAGGACCCACCAACAGCCCTCGAAAGTGGCTACAATTTCGCAGATCGCAGCCCCCCAGGGACGGCGAGGTCCCGCTCAGATCTGCGCAGCGCCTCACTCCGCAGGACCCACCAGCAGCCCTCGAAAGTGGCGACGGTTTCGCAGATCGCAGCCCCCCAGGGACGGCGTGGTCCCGCTCAGATCTGCGCGGTGCCTCACTCCGCAGGACCCGCCAGCAACCCTTGGAAAGGGGCGACAGTTTCGCAGATCGCAGCCCCCCAAGCACAGCGAGGTCTCGCTCAAATCTGCGTGGTGCCCCACTCCGCAGGACCCACCAGCACCCCTCGAAAGTGGCGACATGTTCGCAGATCGCAGCTCCCCAGGCACGGCGAGGTCCCGCTAATATCTGCGCGGTGCCTCACTCCGCTGGACCCACCAGCAGCCCTCGAAAGTGGCGACCGTTTCGCAGATCGCAGCCCCCCAGGGACGGCGAGGTCTCGCTCAGATCTGCGCGGTGCCTCACTCCGCTGGACCCACCAGCAGCCCTCGAAAATGGCGACGGTTTCGCAGATCGCAGCCCCCCAGGGACGGCGAGGTCCCCTCAAATGTGCGCAGTGTCACTCCGCAAGACCCACCAGCAGCCCTCAAAAGTGGCGACAATTTCGCAGATCGCAGCCCCCCAGGGACGGCGAGGTCCCGCTCAAATCTGCGTGGTGCCTCACTCCGCAGGACCCGCCAGCAACCCTTGGAAAGTGGCGACAATTTCGCAGATCGCAGCCCCCCAAGGACGGCGAGGTCCCGCTCAGATCTGCCGGGTACCTCACTCCGCTGGACCCGCCAGCAACCCTTGGAAAGTGGCGACAGTTTCGCAGATCGCAGCCCCCCAAGCACAGCAAGGTCTCGCTCAGATCTGCGTGGTGCCTGACTCCGCAGGACCCACCAGCAGCCATCGAAAGTGGCGACAATGTCGCAGATCGCAGCCCCCCAGGGACGGCGAGGTCTCGCTCGAATCTGCGCAGCGCCTCACTCCGCTGGACCCACCAGCAGCCCTCGAAAGTGGCGACCGTTTCGCAGATCGCAGCCCCCCAGGGACGGCGAGGTCTCGCTCAGATCTGCGCGGTACCTCACTCCGCTGGACCCACCAGCAGCCCTCGAAAGTGGCGACAGTTTCGCAGATCGCAGCCCCCCAGGGACGGCGAGGTCTCGCTCAGATCTGCGCGGTGCCTCACTCCGCAGGACCCACCAGCAGCCCTCGAAAGTGGCGACAGTTTCGCAGATCGCAGCCCCCCAGGGACGGCGAGGTCTCGCTCAGATCTGCGCGGTGCCTCACCCCGCAGGACCCACCAGCAGCCCTCGAAAATGGCGACAGTTTCGCAGATCGCAGCCCCCCAGGGACGGCGAGGGAATCGACTCCGCAGGGCCCACCAGCAGCCTCGAAAATGGCGACAGTTTCGCAGATCGCAGCCTCAGGGACGCGAGGTCTCGCTCAGATCTGCGCGGTGCCTCACTCCGCGGGCCCGCCAGCAAGCAACACTCGAACGTGGCGACAGTGTCGCAGATCGCAGCCCCCCCAAGGACGGCGAGGTCTCGCTCAGATCTGCGCGGTGCCTCACTTCGCAGGACCCACCAGCAGCCCTCGAAAGTGACGGCAGCCCTCGAAAGTGACGGCAGTTTCGCAGATCGCAGCCCCCATCGTCGGCGAAGAAAGGGCAGGAGGAGGCGGGAGGCGGGAGGAGGAGGAGGAGGAGGAGGAGGAGGAGGAGGAGGAGGAGGGGGAGGAGGAGGAGGAGGAGGAGGAGGAGAGACGCGACCACAGTGCTCTATTCAAAACGAATACCCAACCAAGGACGGTTGGAAAACATTACCCTGGCGACGTACCCAACCCCTGCGCAATGCGGGGCATGAGTAAATTTGAAGACGCTATACGGAGGTGATGCCGTGACATGGGCGCATCTACTTCTGCGAGCGGCATTCGTGAGGCTCGCAACCCCCCAAGGATTGCGATGTCTCGCTCAGGTCTGCCTGGTGCCTCGCTCCGCTGGGCCCACCAGCAGCCCTCGAAAGTGGCGACGGTTTCGCAGATCGCAGCCCCCCAGGGACAGCGAGGTCCCGCTCAGATCTGCGCGGTGCCCCACTCCGCAGGACCCACCAGCAGCCCTCGAAAGTGGCGACAGTTTCGCAGATCGCAACCCCCCAGGCACGGCGAGGCCCCGCTCAGATCTGCGCGGCGCCTCACCCCGCTGGACCCACCAGCAGCCCTGGAACATGTGAATAATTTCGCAGATCGCAGCCCCCCAGGGACGGCGAGGTCTCACTCAGATCTGCGCGGTGCCTCACTCCGCTGGACCCACCAGCAGCCCTCGAAAGTGGCGACGGCTTCGCAGATCGCACCCCCCCAGGGACGGCGAGTTCTCGCTCAGATCTGCGCGGTGCCCCACTCCGCAGGACCCACCAGCAGCACTCGAAAGTGGCGACAATTTCGCAGATCGCAGTCCCCAGGCACGGCGAGGCCTTGCTCAGATCTGCGCGGTGCCTCACTCCGCTGGACCCACCAGCAGCCATCGAAAGTGGCGACGGTTTCGCAGATCGCAGCCCCACTGGCACGGCGAGGTCTCGCTCAGATCTGCGCGGTGCCTCACTTCGCTGGGCCCACCAGCAGCCCTCAAAAGTGGCGACAGTTTCGCAGATCGCAGCCCCCCAATCACGGTGAGGTCTTGCTCAGATCTGCGCGGTGCCTCACCCCGCTGGACCCACCAGCAGCCCTCGAAAGTGGCGACGGTTTCGCAGATCGCAGCACCCCAGGGATGGCGAGGTCTTGCTCAGATCTGCGCGGTGCCTCACTCCGCTGGACCCGCCAGCAGCCCTCAAAAGTGGCGAATCGCTATGCTGGCACCCCAAGCACTCGACAGTGGCGACAATTTCCCAGATCGCAGCCCCACAAGCACGGCGATGTCTTGCTCAGATCTGCGCGGTGCCTCACCCCGCTGGACCCACCAGCAGCCCTCGAAAGTGGCGACGGTTTCGCAGATCTCAGCCCCACTGGCACGGCGAAATCTTACTCAGATCTGCATGGTGCCTCACTCCGCAGGACCCACCAGCAGCCCTCGAAATTGGCGACAGTTTCGCAGATCGCAGCCCCCCAGGCACGGCGAGGTCTCGCTCAGATCTGCGCGGTGCCCCACTCCGCAGGACCCACCAGCAGCAATCGAAAGTGGCGACAATCTCCCAGATCGCAGCTCCCCAGACACGACGAGGTCTTGCTCAGATCTGCGCAGTGCCTAACTCCGCTGGACCCACCAGCAGCCCTCGAACGTGGCGACGGTTTCGCAGATCGCAACCCCCCAAGCACGGCGAGGCCCCGCTCAGATCTGCGCGGTGCCCCACTCCGCAGGACCCACCAGCTGCCCTCGAAAATGGCCACATGTTCGCAGATCGCAGCCCCCCAGGCACGGCGAGGTCCCGCTCAGATCTGCCGGGTACCTCACTCCGCTGGACCCGCCAGCAGGCCTCGAAAGTGGCGACGGTTTCGCAGATCGCCGCCCTCCAGGGACGGCACGGTCCCGCTCAGATTTGCGCGGTGCCCCACTCCGCTGGACCCACCAGCAGCCCTCGAAAATGGCGACAGTTTCGCAGATCGCAGCCCCCAGGCACGGCGAGGTCTTGCTCAGATCTGCGCGGTGCCTCACTCCGCTGGACCCACCAGCAGCCCTCGAAAGTGGCGACAGTTTCGCAGATCGCAGCCCCCGAGGCACGGCGAGGTCTCGTTCAGATCTGCGCGGTGCCTCACTCCGCTGGACCCACCAGCAGCCCTCGAAAATGGCGACAGTTTCGCAGATCGCAGCCCCCCAGGGACGGCGAGGTCTCGCTCAGAGCTGCGCGGCGCCTCACCCCGCTGGACCCACCAGCAGCCCTCGAAAATGGCGACAGTTTCGCAGATCGCAGCCCCCCAAGCACGGCGAGGTCTCGCTCAGATCTGCGCGGTGCCCCACTCCGCAGGACCCACCAGCAGCCCTCGAAAGTGGCGACAGTTTCGCAGATCGCAGCCCCCATCGTCGGCGAAGAGAGGGCAGGATGAGGCGGGAGGCGGGAGGAGGAGGAGGAGGAGGAGGAAGAGGAGGAGGAGGAGGAGGAGGAGGAGGAGGAGGAGGAGGAGGAGGAGGAGGGACGCGACCACAGTGCTCTATCCAAAACGAATACCCAACCAAGGAAGGTTGGGAACAATCGTGGGGCCCTCTTGGGGCCCTTGGGCCTGTTGGGGGCCCTTTGGGGCCCTCTTGGGCCTGTTGGGGGCCCTTTGGGGCCGTCTTGGGGTGTCTTGGAGGCCTTCGGCAGTCTTGGGGCTCTCTTGGGGGCCTCTTCGGGCCCTCTTGGGAGCCACTTTGGGCCATCTTGGGACTCCCTTGGGGCCGTCTTCCAGCCATGTTGGGACCCTCTTTGCCCATGTCTTTCTTTCTTTTTTTCTTGGGGGGGGGCGGCCAGCGCGTCCGGTCCCGTCTGCGAAGACGTGCGGCGCGCGAACGGCATCGTACGAGAGAGGTTGGAATGAAGAAGGGCGACGGATGAGGAGGAGTTGCGGAAGGACTGCACGCCGGGCAGTTCGCGGAAACTGTCACTGCACGCATGGGCAGCGATGGCCGAACTGGCGTGCACCCCCCCCCACCACACACTGACTACCTACCAGACCACCCCAACCCAACCCGAAGACCTGAATTTGACCCGAATTTCGGGTTGGGGGGGGTACGGGTTCCATGTGTTTTTTCAACGTTCCCCGACCCCCCCCCACTGGAAATCGAGGATAAATTTGGGCCTTCGGGTTGGGTTGGGGTGGTTTGGTGGGTGTGACACACACACACGCACACACACACACACACACACACTGGAGCAGGCCGGTGGAGAAGCGATGGCATGTTGTGGAGCTGTGCGCAGCCTTGGTTCGCAAAAAAAAAAACAAGGATTGCAAAACAAAAAAACAAAAAAACAAAAAACAACTTTTTTGTTGTTTTTTGTTTTTTGCAATCCACCCCCCCCTCCCGGCATGGACCTTCACCCCCTCACCCTCCATCGCCATCCCCAGCGAACAAGAGGGGTCAGGCCTCCAGGGCTCGGGAGTCCCAGAGGCCAGACATCGCGCTGCGGGCAGCGGCGAGAGGCTTCGGACCGGAGCGGCTGCTGTGCACCGCTGCAGAAGGGCGTGGATAGGGGCGTTGTGGACGCTCAATCCCCAGCTCTTGCTCTTGTTTACGATGGGTCCCAAAATTGGAACCACATGTTGCTGAGAGGAGCGCGGGCAACAACCCAAACGGAAGGGCAAAAACACCTCATTGCGACTCGCTGCCCCACCTAGGCTGCCTCCCGAGCTGGGGCTCACTGAGAGCGCTCGAGGCTGCAAAGCAGTCAGGCCCGATGCAAGCAGGGCGTTAAAAAATGGAAGGAACTCCCTGCACTGGTCAATGTCACCAACAAGACAGGTGCGGGCTTCGACCAACTGATGCCGTGTATTTCGGCGGTGGACAAACCTCTCTTTAGTAAACCTCCCCTCAGTGAAAACGGCCTGGGACCGAAACCGACGGACCTGGACCCACAAAAATGACGGCCGCGACGCCCTTTCGCGAACGAAAACGGCCAATTCCTTAATCGACGTGTCAGGGTAGGAGGTCTATCCACCCCCGAGTATGATGCGTCGTAATGGACTGCCCTTTGCTTGCAACCGTACAGCCATATGATGACGACAGATAAAGAGAAGGGTCCAAGCTCCTGCGGCCCCGCTTCGCGGAGGCTCGCGCAGTCTGCCTGGAAGCGGGGGCGGAGGATGCCCGTGTACACATCAGGTTTCCGATGCCACAGAGCACCCCGCGCAGAGGTACTTCAACAAAAAAAAGCAACAGGCGCTGAAGCGGAAGCGCCAGACCGGATCGAGCCGACGACGTCTGGACCTCATTACCTAAGAGCATGTTGACGAGGCCGTGGCATCTGGAATCGGCGCGTCTGGCCAATGTTTTCCTGCAACTCTGCGAGGAATAGGTCAGGCGAGTCGGATAAGTATAATTCAGGCGTTCTGTCTCTCCCAGCTGGCGTTGATACTCTGTGAAGCTCTGGTCGTGGCAGACTTGCCACAGATGCCCAGACTTCAGAATCAGGAGTTTTCTCGCAGACAGCAGTAGTGCTTGTACGACTTCCTGCCCTGGACCACAAATCTCCAATGATACTCGCTGGCAGCAGGTGTTCTAAAGCCAGACTCAGGGCTCCGAGAAGTGTAGGTGCATTGGAACTCGAAGTGGATTTAGACCCTGCATCTGATGTAACATCAACTTGACTAACAACGTCATCACACATGTCACGCTCGACTGACAATTCTGATTCCGTGTGGTCAAGTCTACCAGATACTTCAGAACTCCAGGCGTGAACACGGCGATACTGTTCTGCTTGCACATGGTCTTCCCGGACACTGGGAATATCACAAGATTCCTCAAGCATCTCACTTACGGTGCCGATTAATATATGTTCGCAGGGTTCGACGAGTCCGGATGGACCATCATCGGCTGGATGTACATCGCTGGTAGTTCCTATGTTTGGTATAAACGATGAATCACCCACATCCACGACGGTGTTATCTCGACAACCTGGCGAGTCAAGTGCCGCCAACCCCCCGTCTCGATGGACTTCACCAGACGTTGGCGGCAATATCCCAGTGAAGCTCACATGCGCATGTGGCTGCACCTCATCAGGGGCGCCATCGAGGCTGGGAGAATTCGAACCCCCGTGATGTCGCCGATGGCTAAGCAAACTGATCCTCAATGTCAGTGTAGCGGTGAGCACCAAGAATACGACTGCATTTGGAAGAAGAGAGCGCATGGCCTCCATCAAGTCTTGCCCCTCTGCATGTTCTGCATACAATGTAAACGTGGCCAGAATTGCCAGTGCACACGAGAACACCTCGAACGGCAAAAACCGAGCTGTCACTGAAGTTGCATACAACATCACAAATAGGGAAACAGGAAAGAAGAGTTCCAACGTGTCTCTGGCGAGTGGGTCCAAGAACACTGGCAGTGCATAGCAAGCGTGAGATGCACCGACCACGAAACTGATCACGTAGAAAAACACTGACTGCATGCGAGACGGCCTAATCAAGCATATCGACACCCAGTTCCGGCAGGCGGGAAATTGGAGGGCAAACGTGGCAACACTTACGACTGCAGTTACAGCCCCGGCAGCAACTTGGACGAGGGTGGTACGACCAACGGCCGCTTTGTTCAAATACAAAACCATTGCTATCAGTGGTCCCGCGATCAAAAGGAAGTCCACCAGTATCTTGCGCAAAACTTGTTCTGGGAAATTCGTACCATTAGCGGTCATTGTAGACGGCCACACGGGCATGCCCAATACCTTCTCTCAACACTGACTATATGAATATGGCCGATGCCAGAACGCTTGAGAACAAGTGGCTTGAGCAAACATCTTGGGCCAAATGGCTACGGAAGAGTCCTCTTGGCCCGTGTTGGGGCCCTCTTGGGCTGCCTTGGAGCCCTCCTGGGGCCGTCTTGGGACGATCATTGGTGCCTCTTGGGCCGTCCTGAGCGGTTCTTGGCCCGAAAAGGCGAGAATCGAAAAACTATAGAAACATCTAAGGACAATCAATGTTGTTGGCCTCCTCAGGCCTTTTTGGGGGTCCTCATGGAAGCCCTCTTAGGCCCTCTTGGGGCCCTCCTGGGCCGTCTCGAGGCCATCTGAAGCCATCTTGGAACGCCCTTAGGCGGTCCTGGGCTTTCTTGGGGCACGTTGGGCCATCTTGGAGCCCCCCGCTTGGGCCGTCTTTTGCGGCCTCTTGGGCGAATCTTGGGCCGTATGGGGCGCAACTTGAAATGTTTTGGGCCCCTGGAAAGCCATTAGACCTGGCCCGGCACAGAAACGGAAAGAGCGCTGCAGCAACAGAAACCGAAAATACTCACACCACCGTTCGTACCGGGAGCCTTGGCGTTGAGAGCTTGTTACGTCACCCCTCGCTCGTGGGAACCTTGGTGTTCAGAGATAATTACGTTGCCGCCCGTTCCTGAGCCTTGGCTGGGCCTTGGTGTCAGGAACTTGTTACGTCACCGGTCTCTGCTGGGAGCCTTGGTCTTATCAGCTTGTGTACGTCACCGTTCGCTCTTGGGAGCCTTGGTGTGAAGAGCTTCTTGCGTGACCGATCGCTCTCTGTTTGGCGTCTCTGGGCCTTCTTGGAAGTCCTATTGGGGCTCTTGTCGGGCCCTTTTGGAGGCCTCTTGGGGGCCTCTTGGGGCTTCTTGGGGGGCTCTGGGGGCCTCCTGGGAGCTTCTTGGGGCGAAAGGCTCGACTTGTCGGTACGTGGTCCCCCTCTTGGGGCCGTCTTGGGGCCCTCTTGGGCCGTCTTGGGCGCCTCTTGGGCCATCTTGGGGCCCGCTTGGGCCGTTTTGGGGGCCTCCTGGGGCGGTCTTGGGGGCCTCTTGGAGCGTCTTCAACGCAGTGAAAGCAGAAAAGCCTTGTATGCTAAAAATGTACCTTTCCCCTTAGAAAATCGCCTCCCGGTGGCCTCTTGGGACGCCTCTTGGGGCTTCTTGGGGGGCTCTGGGGGCCTCCTGGGAGCGTCTTGGGGCGAAAGGCTAGACTTTTCCGTTCGTGGTCCCCCTCTTGGGGCCGTCTTGGCGCCCTCTTGGGCCGTCTTGGGCGCCTCTTGGGCCGTCTTGGCGCCCTCTTGGGCCGTTCTGGGGGCCTCTTGGGAGCCTCTTGGGCTGTCTTAGGGCGGTCTTGGGGGCCTCTTGGGTGGGCCGTCGTCAACGCCGTGAAAGCCGACAAAGCGCATATGCTAAAAATATACGTTTTCCCAAGGGAAATCGATGATTTCGGCCTCTTGGGGCCCTCTTGGGACGCCCCTTGTGCGCCTCTTGGGGGCCTCTTGGGCCGTCTTGTGCGGTCTTGGGCTCTCTTGGAGCGCTCTTGGGCCGTCTTGGGGGGGGAACCCGAAAAACATGCGAAAACCCTACGGAAAACCCCCAAAACGGCCATTAACACGCAGGTGCGCACGCTACCCCCCCCCCCTGGAACCCCTCCCTTTAGGGCTTCGCCCACACCAAAACGTCATCACTCGTACCTCGCTCTTTCCGTTACCTGGCCCGGCACAGAAACGGAAAGAGCGCTGCAGCAACAGAAACCGAAATTACTCACACCACCGTTCGTACTGGGAGCCTTGGCGTTGAGAGCTTGTTACGTCACCCCTCGCTCTTGGGAGCCTTGGTGTTCAGAGATTGTTGCGTTGCCGCCCGTTCCTGAGCCTTGGCTGGGCCTTGGTGTCAGGAACTTGTTACGTCACCGGTCTCTGCTGGGAGCCTTGGTCTTATCAGCTTGTGTACGTCACCGTTCGCTCTTGGGAGCCTTGGTGTGAAGAGCTTTTTGCGTGACCGATCGCTCTCTATTTGGCGTCTCTGGGCCTTCTTGGGAGTCCTATTGGGGCTCTGATCTAGCCCTTTTGGAGGCCTCTTTGGGAACCTCTTGGGGGCCTCTTGGGGCTTCAACGGCCATTAACACGCAAATGTTCCCGCTTCGCCCCTCCCCTGGAACCCCTCCCTTTAGGCTTCGCCCACACCAGAACGTCATCACTCGTACCTCGCTCTTTCCGTTACCTGGGCCGGCACGGAAACGGAAAGAGCGCTTCAACAACGTGACCGAAATTACTCACACCACCGTTCGTACTGGGAGCCTTGGCGTTGAGAGCTTGTTACGTCACCCCCCGCGCTCTTGGGAGCCTTGGTGTTCAGAGATTGTTGCGTTGCCGCCCGTTCCTGAGCCTTGGCTGGGCCTTGGTGTCAGGAACTTGTTACGCCATCGTTTCCTGCTGGGAGCCTTGGTCTTATCAGCTTGTTTACGTCACCGTTCGCTCTTGAAGAGCATTTTGCGTTACCGATCGCTCTTCATTTGGCTTCTGTGAGCCTTCTTGGGAGTCCTATTGCGGCCCTTTTTGAGCCCCTTTGGGGGCCTCTTGGGGGCCTCTTCGGGCTTCTTGGGGGTCTGTGGGGGCCTTCTGGGGGCGTCTTGGGGCGAAAGGCTAGACTTTCGGGTTCGTGGTCCCCCTTCTGGGGCCGTCTTGGTGCCCTCTTGGGCCGTCTTGGGCGCCTCTTGGGCCGTCTTGGCGCCCTTTTAGGCCGTTTTGGGGGCCGTTTTGGGGCGGTCTTGGGGGCCTCTGGGGCCGTCTGCAACGCCGTGGAAACCGAAAAGCCGTGTATGATAAAAATGTACGCTTTCCCATGGGAAATCAACAATTTTGGCCTCGTGATGGCCTCATCGGGCGCCTCTTGGGGGCCTCTTGGGGCTTCTTGGGGGGCTCTGGGGGCCTCCCGGGAGCGTCTTGGGGCGATAGGCTAGACTTTTCGGTTCGTGGTCCCCCTCTTGGGGCCGTCTTGGGCCGTCTCGGGCGCCTCTTAGGCCATCTGGGGGCCCTCTTGGGCCGTTTTGGGGGCCTCTTGGGGGCCTCTTGGGCCGGTTTGAGGTGGAACCTCTTGGGCTGTCTTGGGGCGGTCTTGGGGGCCTCTTGGGCCGTCGTCAACGCCGCGAAAGCCGACAAAACGCAGATGCTAAAAATATCAAAGTGAAGGGGCCGAACGGTCATTCACTGTCCCTGGGTGCGTGGCTGAAGTGGAGTTCCGCGGTGCGGATTCTCGTTGTTGTTGTTGTTGTTGTTGTTGTTGTTGTTGTTGTTGTTGTTGTTGTTGTTGTTGTTGTTGTTTGTTGTTGTTTATTGTTGTTGTTGTTTGTTGTCGTCGTCCCACCCGCAACCCGCCCACGAACCCACCCGCGACCCAACCCACGACCCACCCCGCGACCCACCCGCGACCCACCCGCGACCCACCCGCGATCCACCCCGCGACCCACCCCGCGACCCACCCCGCGACCCACCCCGCGACCCACCCCGCGACCCACCCCGCGACCCACCCCGCGACCCACCCCGCGACCCACCCGCAACCTACCCGCGACCCACCCGCGACCCACCCGCGACACGCCCCGCGACCCACCCGCGACGCACGTTCGACCCAAACTACGTTGAAGGTGCAAACCACCATTTTCGGCGCCTGCGGCGGGCTTTTTGTGCATTCCTTCCAGGCGGAGCGCCCGCGACCCACCCCGTGACCAACTCGCGACCAACCCGCGACCCAAACCACGTTCAGGGTACAAACCACATTCTTCGGCGCCTGCGGCGGGCATCTTTTGCCTTCGTTTCATGTGGAGAGCCCGCGGCCCATCCGCGACCACGTTCAGGGTACAAACGGCATGTTTCGGCGCCTGCGGCGGGCATCTTTTGCATTCGTTCCCGGTGGAGAACCCGCGGCCCACCCGCGACCCAAACCACGTTCAGTGTACAAACCAATGTTTGTTGGCGCCTGCGGTGGGCTGCTTTTGCATTCCTTCCATGCGGAGGTGGAGAGCCCGCGACCCACCCGCGACCTAAACCACGCTCACTGAACAAACCAATGCCGTACAAGCGCGGCGGCGGATTTTCGCATGCCGTCTGAGCCCGCAAGGACCTCTTCAAGCCCCGCGCATCCACACCAGCCCGTCCAGCAACTTTGCCCTGGCGAGTTGCCTTGATCAGAGAAGGCGGGGAGCATAAAGTGAAAAAAAGGACTGCGTTGCAGTTATCTTGGGAAAGGAGGGGGAGGCAGGAGGAGTAAACAGGGGACGAGGAGAACGCGGAAGAAGAGAGGATGTAAGGACAATGTGGAGAGAGAGAAAAAGGAGGAGGAGCAGGAGGACGAGGAGGGGGAGGAGGGGGAGGAGGGGAAGGAGGAGGACGAGAGAGGGGAGGGGGGATGATGATGATGGACGACAATGGGAGGACGATGATGGAGGCCGATGAGGGGGAGGACGACAATGGGAGGACGATGATGAAAGGACGAGGGGGGAAGAGGGAGGACGAGGAAGAAAAGGAGGAGGACGAGGAGGAGGAGGATGACGATGACGATGAGGACGAGGACGAGGAAGAGGAGGAGGAGGAGGAGGAGGAGGAGGAGGAGGAGGAGGAGATCGCCATCGACAGGGAAGGTGGGGGCCACGAGGTCCGCCGGCTCGACGACGCCCGCGTCGCCCGCGCCCGCCCCCTCACTCTTATCCGCAATTGCGGGGTGCTACGTACGTTTTCCTTTTGGAAAATCAATGATTTCGGCCTATTGGGGCCCTCTTGGGACGCCTCTTGGGGGCCTCTTGGGGGCCTCTTGGGGGCCTCTTGGACCGTCTTGGGCGGTCTTGGGCTCTCTTGGAGCGCTATTGTGCCGTCTTGGGGGGGGACCCGAAAAACATGCAAAAACCCTAAGGGAAACCCGAAAACGGCCATTAACACGCAGGTGCGCACGCTACCCCCCTCCCCTGGAACCCCTCCCTTTAGGGCTTCGCCCACACCAGAACGTCATCACTCGTACCTCGCTCTTTCCGTTACCTGGCCCGGCACAGAAACGGAAAGAGCGTTTCAGAAACAGAAACCGAAATTACTCACACCACCGTTCGTACTGGGAGCCTTGGCGTTGAGAGCTTGTTACGTCACCCCTCGCTCTTGGGAGCCTTGGTGTTCAGAGATTGTTTCGTTGCCGCCCGTTCCTGAGCCTTGGCTGGGCCTTGGTGTCAGGAACTTGTTACGTCACCGCTCCCTGCTGGGAGTCTTGGTCTTATCAGCTTGTGTACGTCCCCGTTCGCTCTTGGGAGCCTTGGTGTGAAGAGCTTTTTGCGTGACCGATCGCTCTCTATTTCGCGTTTCTGGGTCTTCGTGGAAGTCCTATTGGGGCCCTTGTCGGGCCCTTTTGGAGGCCTCTTGGACTTTTCGGTTCGTGGTCCCCCCCTTGGGGCCGTCTTGGGGCCCTCTTGGGCCGTCTTGGGCGCCTCTTGGGCCGTCTTGGCGCCTTGTTGGGCCGTTTTGGGGGCCCCTTGGGCCGGCTTGGGGCGGTCTTGGGGGCCTCTTGGAGCGTCTTCAACGCAGTGAAAACCGAAAAGCCCGTTTGCTAAAAATGTACCTTTCCCTCTAGGAACTCAATGATTTTCGCCTCCCGGTGGCCTCGTGGGACGCCTCTTGGGGGCCTCTTGGGGCATCTTGGGGGGCTCTGGGGGCCCCCTGGGAGCGTCTTGGGGCGAAAGGCTAGACTTGTCCGTTCGTGGTCCCCCTCTTGGGGCCGTCTTGGCGCCCTCTGGGGCCGTCTTGAGCGCCTCTTGGGCCGTCTTGGCGCCCTCTTGGGCCGTTCTGGGGGCCTCTTGGGAGCCTCTGGGGCCGTCTTGGGGCGGTCTTGGGGGCCTCTTGGGCCGTCGTCAACGCCGAGAAAGCCGACAAAGCGCATATGCTAAAGATATACGTTTCCCCAAAGGAAATCTATGATTTCGGCCTCTTGGGGCCCTCTTGGGACGCCCCTTGGGGGCCTCTTGGGGGCCTCTTGGGCCGTCTTGGGCAGTCTTGGGCTCTCTTGGAGCGCTCTTGGGCCGTCTTGGGGGGGAACCAGAAAAACATTGAAAAACCCTAAGGGAAACCCGAAAACAGCCATTACCACTCAAATGTGCACCCCTCCTCCCCCTCTGCACTCCCCCTAAGGGGCTTCGCCCACACCAGAACGTCATCACTCGTACCTCGCTCTTTCCGTTACCTGGCCCGGCACAGAAACGGAAAGAGCGCTGCAGCAACAGAAACCGAAATTACTCACACCACCGTTCGTGCCGGGAGCCTTGGCGTTGAGAGCTTGTTACGTCACCCCTCGCTCGTGGGAGCCTTGGTGTTCAGAGATGGTTGCGTTGCCGCCCGTTCCTGTGCCTTGGCTGGGCCTTGGTGTCATGAACTTGTTACGTCACCGATCCCTGCTGGGAGCCTTGGTCTTATCAGCTTGTGTACGTTCCCGTTCGCTCTTGGGAGCCTTGGTGTGAAGAGCTTTTTGCGTGACCGATCGCTCTCTATTTCGCGTTTCTGGGTCTTCGTGGAAGTCCTATTGGGGCCCTTGTCGGGCCCTTTTGGAGGCCTCTTGGGGGCCTCTGGGGGCGTCTTGGGGGTCTGTGGGGGCCTCCTGGGATCGTCTTGGGGCGAAAGGCTAGACTCTCGGGTTCGTGGTCCTCCTCTTGGGGCCGTCTTGGGGCCCTCTTGGGCTGTCTTGGGCGCCTCTTGGGCCGTCTTGGCGCCTTGTTGGGCCGTCTGGGGGGGGCCTCTTAGGAGCCTTTGGGGCCGTCTTGGGGCGGTCTTGGGGGCCTCTGGGGCCGCCTCCAACGCCGTGGAAGCCGAAAAGCCGTGTATGCTTAAAATGTATGTTTTCCCATGGGAAATCAATGATTTTCGCCGCCTGATGGCCTCGTGGGACGCCTCTTGGGGACCTCTTGGGGCTTCTTGGGGGGCTGTGGGGACCTCCTGGGGGCGTTTTGGGGCGATAGGCTAGACTGTTCCATTCGTGGTCCCCCTCTTGGGGCCGTCTTGGGGCCCTCTGGGGCCGTCTTGGGCGCCTCTTGGGCCGCCTGGGGCCCTCTTGGGCCGTTCTGGGGGCCTCTTGGGAGCCTCTGGGTCCGTCTTGGGAAGGTCTTGGGGGCCTCTTGTGCCGTCGTAAGGCGCAAATCCGTGTATGCTAGACATGTATTCTTTTTTCCAATAGGAAATTCATGCTCTGACGTCTTTTCAGTGGTGAACTCTGATACCATATGGTCGCGACCAGGTTATCGAGTCGTGCAAACGGCGAAACCACTCTGTACGAGAGGAAGGAGTGAAGAAGGTTTAAAATGGGGCGTGCACTATATAGGGCAGGTCCAGCGAGGCTGAGGGTGGGAAAGCTTGAGCCCCAGCAGCGATATGGGGGCTGCTGGAGGGCTGCAACATATAAAGAACCTCAAAGCAATCACGTGCAACGCGCACCCATGCTCTGACGTCTTTTCAGTGGTGAACTCTGATACCATATGGTCGCGACCAGGTTATCGAGTCGTGCAAACGGCGAAACCACTCCAACATATTCACAAAGCCGAAGTTCTCAGCGTAGCGGTATAGACCATTCACCGGGGGCGGGGAAGGCGTCAACCTCAGTATGTGAAAAATACTACTGCCACACACAGATCATCTTTGTTCACAGATCGAGCAAGACAGTGTACAGCCACCGAGCGAAGCGAGAAGGGTACGCAGCGGCTTTCAAAGTCATAATCTTTCCCTCTAAGACGACATGCTTATGGCCAGGCCTGAAGGAACAGTATCCGTGTTTGCCTCGGCAACGTACGGCCCCCGGTAGGCAAGGGCGAAGTCCCCTGCCTCCGTGACGCATCCCAGGGCCAGCTTGGTCGCCTTTCGCCACCTGGATCCGAAGGCGCACTGTTGCAAATCCAGAGTTCGGCTACAGCTCAAAACATACATCATGATATCTTGGCATCGCCACATGTAGGAGGTATGAGGGTTCTCCAACGCGAACGGGACTACGAAGACATGGCACAACCGAACGATGTACACGGCCACGCGCTTACAGGGGTTACCTATGCTGACTGCGGTCTGGTCGGTTGGGCGCAGGGATGGCAGGCCCTCTGGATGTTGCGCACTGCTCACATGATACCTGTTAAGAGCGAGAGAGAAGGAATAACAGAGAGGTGCCAACATGACTGCTCTGATGAGCCCGGCCTTAAAGTGGGCGAGAATCGCATCTAGATTATTGGCACTGCACACATCCTGGTCTTCCCCATTTCGCAGGTCCAAAGACACTGAGTTGAAGCCAAGTCGCTTGGCGAAGCCTCCAACCCCGCCTCCACCAGAGAAAAGATCCAGCAGATACAGTGCGGAAACAGTGGCCAGCTGCGAGCTCAGTGGAGCCCGCGACAGCCCTCTCGGCCGCCGAACGGCGGCACAAGCGCGGGGCGTCCCAGCAGCAATACCCCTTGCAGCAGGTTGGCCGCTGCAGCACAGTGTGCCTTGGAGGCGTCGCTCAGCTTCTCCCAGCTCTCGTTCAGTCGTCCTGACTTTTCGTATCTTTTCACCGAACTCATCGCAGCCCATCGCCCTCTTTTCTGAACCTCTTCCAAAGAGCGTCGCCCCGTGGCCCGATCCAGCGATGCTCCGCTGTGACGGCCTTCGTATGGGACGACGTCGACTCCGATGTTCGTGGCCGCTCTCCGGAAGAGGCACAGGAGCTGCGGGTAGCTCAAATCCAGGAGGGGCCGGGATGACTGGCGGTCCTTCAGAGCTTTGAAGATGTGACACATCCACGGGCACCGTCCTGTGTCGCCAGGGATGGCATCGTCTGCTGACCCCGCCTTGCTCCGAGCCACCCCAGCTTCCGGAAACAGCCATACGACCCAGTTCTGTACTGCATGCTCCGCTGGTGCCAGAAATGAGTCGCTCGTGAGACTCAGCATCTCGCCCGGCCGAAGGTAGCACCCCGCCATGCTTAGCACCATGGCGCCTACCAGAGGCGCCCCCGAGCGGCAGAGCTCCACTGCCAGCGCCGCCCAGATCGCGAACACCAAGGGCTTCCGAGATCGAGATGGCGAAAGCTTCTTCCACCCTTTCAGGCAGCGCAAAGACCTCGGGAGATGCAAGCCGCCCAGGCGGCCGAAGTCCGGGTGGAATAACATCAGCCCAGCGAGCAGCGTCTCGCCCCGCCAGGCCTTGACGCCCTTCAGAAGCTCTTCGCTCATGCATGCGACCAGCTGGCCGTCCAGCTCCTTGAGCTCGGGCAGGGCTGTGAGGCAGCAGCGGGCCCAGACGCAGAAGGCGAGCGCGCGCTGGCGGTAGGTCTCCAAGGTGCCTGGGCCCACCGGCCCGGCCTCTTCTCGAGGTGGCTGATGCCCAGCTTCAAGTCGTCCTTGCCCGCCTCTGTGGTCTCCAGCACCTCGATCGCCTTCCTGGCCCGAGCCTTCCCGCGCGTCTCCAGACGCCTGCGGGAGCGCGCGGCAGCCGGCGGCTCCTCGACGTCGCTGCTCTCGATGCTCTCGCTCTCCGCCACGACCTCGGCAGCCCCGTGGCCGGCGACGGCCTGGTCGGCCAGGCGTGGCCCGCTGGGGCTCAGCTGCAAGCAAGCTTCCACTGAGCTCGGCAGCGGCGGTCGGGCGGCGCCCTCGAGCACCAGCCTCGCGGCCAGCCCGCGTCTCTGGCCCAGCGTGCGGGACCTCTGCGCCGGCGGCGGCCCTCCTGAATCCAGCCGGCGACCAGGGCTGCTCAGTGCCCGCGTGCGCCTGCGGCCTGCCTCGAGCGGGGCGGCTGGCGTCGGCACCGCAGCACGGCTCAGCGTCCGCCGCCGACTGCTCTCTGCCGCCACGGGCCTCCGCTGAGGAAGCATCGACAGGGTCCGCAGGAACCTGGGGTGCCAACGAGTTTGAGCCAAGATGGGCAACAAGGGTCTTCTGCGCATCATAAGCAGGATCAAACCTTCGACTTCCCTCGTCGCCAGAATTTAACTCAGACGGAATCCAACGAACAACAAACTTGATGTCCCTAGCAAGGCACAGGGCGGCGAAGCGGCGGACCTGAATTAGAAGCCGGAAATCCCTGGACCTGAACCTGCAAAAACACAACACGTCAGCAATATTATCTCCTAACAAAAGGGTACGGCATACTTTTACAGGCTGACAGCGCGCGGCACGAGCTGCAGCCTTCACCAACGCTCGTGCTTCAAGTCTAAGGATATCATCGGCGAAGGCCCAACGGTCGGCCATGACCGCGGCCCAATGCGAGTCATGCAAGAGCCAGCTGGGCACCTCAGGGAAGCTCGGGTCCAGCTCCCAGCGCTCGCTGGCCAGCACGCGCTGGAGCTCGGCGCCCAGCCGCTTCGGGGCCCCCGCCTCATCTCGGACGACCTCGCCGTTCTCGCTGTCCAAGAGGAAGCCAGCGCACTCGAAAGCATGCTGTCTCGCTAGCTCAGCTCCCAGCCGCCACCGCGCCAGCTCCGATACGCGGCCGATCTCTGCCACCGTCTCGGTCCCGAAGCAGGCCTCCGCCACCCCGTAGCCGTGCAGGCTGGCGTCGGAGGAGTAGACCACTGGCATCCACGGCCTGATCCAACTCGACTCCAGCATCACCATGATGCCCAGGTAGCAGTTCAACTCCTCACGCACGGTGGGCCACAGCTCGGAGAAGGCATGGTAGCTCTGCGCCACACAGGCGTAGACCGAGTGGAAGATGGACAACGCCTCGCGGCGAACCAGGGCCATGAAGGTCATGTGGCCCAACGCCATCTCCAGCTGCCAGCCGGCGACCTTGCGCCTCCTCAGCAAGCACCTCGACCCCTTCCGCACCATGGCGAACCTCTCGTCAGTAGGGCGGGTCGCTCGGTGCCTGCCGTCGAGATAGCAGCCCAGGGTGCGACCTCCCTCAGGCATCACCTCCACCTCGTGGAACTTCAGATGATCGCCATCGAGGTCGCGCTGGGCCTCCTGCGGCGCGCAGGTCACACGCGCTGCGCCGAGCCCGATCACGCCTGCATTGTCGACGTACATGTAGTGGCCCAGTTCCGCCCCCACGGTACCTCGTCCGAGGACAAGCGGCGGCCCGCGATCGCTCAAACGCAGGCTGCCCGCCAACGACGGCTGTCGGTCGAGCCTGCACTGGTTTGCGGCCTGGGCGAAGTACAGGGACCGCGAGAAGCCCATTGGCAGGCTCTGGCTCATCGGCCAAACCTGCGCGCCAGCGTGTGCAGGGCGCCCTTCGACCAGTGTCTCTCCAGTCAGTGCAGCACCCAGTGGCGGCCAGCAGAAGTAATGCCTGATGTCGCCCTGCAGCTTCATCCCGTGGAAACAGTCGGCCACGTCGCCCACGCCAAGCACCGCGCAGGGCCCGGCGAAGTCGGAGTCCTCCATGACGGGCATCTCTATGCGGCCGAGCCCCTCGCCCGGCAGCAAGTCGACCCCGGGAGGATGGCGGAACAAGGCGTTGCTCCGCCTGCAGTCGACGATGAGACGAGGACGAGCCCCATCCTTCTTCTTCACAAAGAATAATCCAAGTACGCTCTTAGGCCTCTGTGTCAAAGTGACTAGGCCAATCGAAAGCGCTCGCCGCGCGAACTTCCCATAGCTCCGCGGCCGCTGCAGCGGCAGAGGGTCGGTGTGACAACCAGGGGGCCCATCAAGTTCTCGTATTAGTGCTGCCTCCTGTGGCGGTAGCAGCATCCTGGAAGCAAGCTCCTCGATGCATTGCTTTGCCTGAGCGGGAAGCATGGTGGCCAAGAACGGCGCGTCGACGACACTGTCTGGCAAGCTCACCCGCGAGTGCTCGTAGGAGCCCACGCTGGTCGAGCCAAGGGGGGCATGCCCCGCCTTGCCCTTGAGATGCCTGGCAAGGGCCTCCTCCTCACTGACGGCGCTGTCAACGTCGATCCACCGGCGAGCCGCCGAGAGAACGCGCTGCTGCACGTCCGCCGAAATGGCATCCATCTTCATCTGGCTTGTCAGGCTCGCTGGTGCCCGATCGCCTCGGTGGATGCCTCCATGCAAATAATTCAAGCTCTCGCAGGCAGCGTTGCCGCCCCGAAGCCAGCGACGGCGCTGCGCCGCGCTGAGTCCCTCGCACCACTCGGGAGGTCACTCGCTCAGAGGGGTCAACGGCAAGAAGGAAGCGCCACGTAGCCCTCTGGTGCCCTTCGGTCTGCAGGGAGCGGTCGGGAGCCCGCCCCCCTCCGCCAAGGACGTCATGAGTCCGGCGGGCGGGGGCCTCGACCCCGCCCGCCTCGGCCTCGGCCGCGGCCACGGCCACGGCCTGCATCAGCACCATCTCCAGCGCCGCCACCTCCAGCGCCGCCTCCGATCGGCAAGTCGCCAGCGTCCACCGCGGCAGCCGCAGCGCCGCGAGCTCGTGCTCCTCCTTGCTCAGGCGGCTGGCGTAGCTTCGCAGCGCCTCGGGCACCAGGTCCAGCGGATTCGTCGTCCCCGCCAGGTGCTTCGCCGCCGCCGAGTTCGCGTGGTCCGCCCCGTGCGCGCAGGCCTCCGCGCACTGCAGCAGCCGGCGGGCGATCACCTCCAGCGACGCCAGAGCTCCCATGTTCACCTGGTCGCAGGTGCCCGCGAGGCACAGGCGCTCGATGAGCGTCTGCACCTCGTGGTAAGCGCGATCCCGTCGAGAGATCCCTGTCTCCTTGCACCACTCCTGGGACCAGATCTTGGGCGCGCCGCCGCGCCGATACATCTTGCGGCACACCTCCAGGCACGCAGGCGGCCCGCGCAGGCTCGAGTCAGAGAACACCTCCTGAGTACTCTCCTGCACTACCTTGCGCCACTCCTTGAACCTCGAGCCTGTCTCGTCGACGTCGATCCAGCAGGTGCGCAGATCCTCGGCCTGCTCTTCGCCAATGCCCGCCGCGGCAGCCGCAACCGTGGGCCCCCCAGGGGGTGCGGCGGCACCGCCCCCGCCGTTGCCGAAGAGCCGATCGTCAAGGGCGCTTCGTGGTGGTCGCTGCCGATCCGCCGCCACCAACTCGTCGTCTCGCCAGCTGTCGGCCTGATCGTCCAGCACATACTCTATGGGACGCCACTCTCCCATCTCACCCTTGTCGAGCCCATAGCGGCCTCGCAGGATGGCGGCAGCTGAGAGGGGTACCATCTGACCGAAGTCGCTGTCCTCGAAGGAGCATCGAACCCACGAATTTGGCGGCCTCTCCGAAGGCGGCGGCGGGGGAGGGGGGCTCCCATCACCGAGCACAGGGAGGTCGGTCTGGGCCTCCGCGGCCTTCCTCCGCAGGTGAAGCCGCGCGCGGAGCACCTCCACGGCCGTTGGCGCGGGGATGTCCAACCTGCCTCCGAGCCAGTCCTGCCCCGCGCCGGCCCACCAGCCGTTCGCTAGCGGTCCGTGCTCGAGGATGGCCTCGCCTCGACCGCGCCTGATGAGCGAGACCAGCTCGGCGGCCTGCAGGCTCCTGTTGAACGCCACCACGTTCCTGACGCCTGGTGGGTAGCGCCTCCGCCCCGTCATGGGAGTGAGCGAGGCGTAGCCCCCGAAGTCCTCAGCATATAAGTCGTTGCCAGGCGTGTAGATTTGCCAGCTCGTGCGACCCTCATTGTGCGGCCACAGTAGCACTCGTTCGTGCGTCCAGCCCGGGTCGTCACTGTACGTCACTAGCACCCTGAGCCCAGGGCAACTGCTGTCAGCCATCGTCACTGGGACTAGGCCAAGTGGATCCGTGATTCACCTATCGGCTCGAGCACCTTCCGTGCCAAGGCCTGGTCCTCCACTTGGCTCCAGCAGCGAGCTGCGGCGGCCAGCGTCACCAGCGCCCCGACACCCAGCGCCACGACAAGCGGCACCTCCACGGTCGAATCGAGCCCCGTGCCCGCCACTCGTAGCGGCGACGGCTCGGGCTCCTTCGGCGCCGGCGGCGCCGGGCACAAGCAAGCCAGCGCGGCGCTGGTGCTCGTGGAGGTGTTGCTGGACGAGCTGTCCTCCAGCTCGTGGCCTGGCCCGCTGCGCGGTGGAAGGCCGCTCGCCTCGTGCACCAGCGCGGGCCCCAGGACGTCGTGCGCCAGGAACCCTGCCAGGAACGTGGCCACGGCGCCGCCTACCGCGCTGGTCGGGTCGGCTCGCATACCCGCTGAAAGCTTGAGCCCCAGCAGCGATATGGGGGCTGCTGGAGGGCTGCAACATATGAAGAACCTCAAAGCAATCACGTGCAACGCACACCCATGAGTTTGGCCTTTTGGGGCCCTCTTGGGACGCCCCTTGGGCGCCTCTTGGGGGCCTCTTGGGCTCTCTTGGAGCGCTCTTGGGCCGTCTTGAAGGAGAATCCGAAAAACATGCAAAAAAAACCATAGGGACCCCCCCCAAACGGTCATTAACGCCAATCTCCTCACGCTTCGCCCCTCCCCTGGAACCCCTCCCTCTAGGGCTTCGCCACAACACAACGTCATCTCTCGTACTTCGCTCTTTCCGTTACCTGGGCTGGCACGGAAACGGAAAGAGCGCTTCAACAACGTGACCGGAATTACTCACACCACCGTTCGTACTGTAGCCTTGGCGTTGAGAGCTTGTTACGTCACCCCGCGCTCTTGGGAGCCTTGGGTTCAGAGATGGTTGCGTTGCCGCCCGTTCCTGAGCCTTGGCTGGGCCTTGGTGTCAGGAACTTGTTACGTCATCGCTCTCTGCTGGGAGCCTTGGTCTTATCAGCTTGTTTACGTCACCCTTCGCTCTTTTGGAGCCTTGGTGTGAAGAGCATGTTGCGTTACCGATCGCTCTTTATTTGGCTTCTCTGAGCCGTCTTGGGAGTCCTATTGCGGCCCATTTTGATCCCCTTTGGGGGCTTCTTGGGGACCTCTTGGGGCTTCTTGCGGGGCTCTGGTGGCCTCCTGGGAGCTTCTTGGGGCGCAAGGCTAGACTTTTCGGTTCGTGGTCCCCCTCTTGGGGCCGTCTTGGCGCCCTCTTGGGCCGTCTTGAGCGCATCTTGGGCCGTCTTGGCGCCCTCTTGGGCCGTTTTGGGGGCCTCGTGGGAGCCTCTTGGGCCGTATTAGGGCGGTCTTGGGGGCCTCTTGGGCCGTCGTCAACGCCGTGAAAGCCGACAAAGCGCATATGCTAAAAGTATACGTTTTCCTTAAGAAAATCAATGGTTTCGGCCTCTTGGGGCCCTCTTGGGACGCCCCTTGGGCGCCCCTTGGGGGCCTCTTGGGGGCCTCTTGGGCCGTCTTGGGCGGTCTTGGGCTCTCTTGGAGCGCTCTTGGGCCGTCTTGGGGGGGAACCCGAAAAACATGCAAAAACCCAAGGGAAAACCAGAAAACGGCCATTACCACGCAAATGTTCCCCCTACCCCCCTCCCTGGAACCCCTCCCTTTAGAAGCTTCGCCAACACCAAAACGTCATCACTCGTACCTCGCTCTTTCCGGTACCCCGCCTGCCCGCCTCGCCCCCCCCTGGACCCCCCCCTTAAGGGCTTCGCTCCTGCTCAACGTCACTCGGTCGTACCTCGCTCTTTCCGTCACCTGGGCGGGCACGGAAACGGAAAGAGCTTCAACAACTTGACCGAAATTACTGACACCACCGTTCGTACTGGAACCTTGGCGTTGAGAGCTTGTTACGTCACCCCGCGCTCTTGGGAGCCTTGGGGTTCAGAGATTGTTGCGTTGCCGCCCGTTCCTGAGCCTTGGCTGGGCCTTGGTGTCAGGAACTTGTTACGTCATCGCTCTCTGCTGGGAGCCTTGGTCTTATCAGCTTGTTTACGTCACCCTTCGCTCTTTTGGAGCCTTGGTGTGAAGAGCATGTTGCGTTACCGATCGCTCTTTATTTGGCTTCTCTGAGCCGTCTTGGGAGTCCTATTGCGGCCCATTTTGATCCCCTTTGGGGGCTTCTTGGGGACCTCTTGGGGCTTCTTGCGGGGCTCTGGTGGCCTCCTGGGAGCTTCTTGGGGCGCAAGGCTAGACTTTTCGGTTCGTGGTCCCCCTCTTGGGGCCGTCTTGGCGCCCTCTCTGGCCGAGCGCATCTTGGCCTCTTGGCGCCCTCTTGGGCCGTTTTGGGGGGGCCTTTGAGGGGCGTGGGGAGCCTCTTGGGCCGTATTAGGGCGGTCTTGGGGGCCTCTTGGGCCGTCGTCAAAACGCCTGGGAAAGCCGACAAAGCGATTGCTAAAGTATCCGTTTTCTACTTAGATATCAATGTTTCGGCCTCTTGGGGCTCCGCTTGGGACGCCCTTGGCGCCCTTGGGGGCCTCTTTTGGGGGCCTCTTGGGCCGTCTTGGGCGGTCTTGGGCTCTCTTGGAGCGCTCTTGGGCCGTCTTGGGGGGGAACCCGAAAAACATGCAAAAACCCAAGGGAAAACCAGAAAACGGCCATTACCACGACAGTTCCCCTTGTCCACCCTATACCCCCCCTCCCTGGAACCTCCCTTTAAGAAGAAGCTTCGCCCACACCACAACGTCATCACTCGTACCTCGCTCTTTCCGGTACCCCGCCTGCCCGCCTCGCCCCCCCCTGGACCCCCCCCTTAAGGGCTTCGCTCCTGCTCAACGTCACTCGGTCGTACCTCGCTCTTTCCGTCACCTGGGCGGGCACGGAAACGGAAAGAGCGCTTCAACAACTTGACCGAAATTACTGACACCACCGTTCGTACTGGAACCTTGGCGTTGAGAGCTTGTTACGTCACCCCGCGCTCTTGGGAGCCTTGGGGTTCAGAGATTGTTGCGTTGCCGCCCGTTCCTGAGCCTTGGCTGGGCCTTGGTGTCAGGAACTTGTTACGTCATCGCTCTCTGCTGGGAGCCTTGGTCTTATCAGCTTGTTTACGTCACCCTTCGCTCTTGGGAGCCTTGGTGTGAAGAGCAGTTTGCGTTACCGATCGCTCTTTCTGTGGCTTCTCTGAGCCGTCTTGGGAGTCCTATTGCGGCCCATTTTGATCCCCTTTGGGGGCCTCTTGGGGGCCTCTTGGGGCTTCTTGGGGGTCTGTGGGGGCCTCCCGGGAGCGTATTGGGGCGAAAAGCTAGACTTTCGGGTTCGTGGTCCCCCTTCTGGGGCCGTCTTGGGGCCCTCGTGAGCCGTCTTGGGCGCCTCTTGGGCCGTCTTGGCCCCCTCTTGGGCCGTTTTGGGGGCCTCGTGGGAGCCTCTGGGGCCGTCTTGGGGCGGTCTTGGCGGCCTCTTGGACCGTCTTCAACGCCGTGGAAGCCGAAAAGCTGTGTATGCTAAAACTTTACGTCTTCTGATAGGAAATCAATGATGTTGGCCTCCCGATGGCCTCGTCGGACGCTTCTTGGAGGCCTCTTTGGGCTTCTTTGGGAGCTTTTGGGTCCTCCCGAGAGCGTCTTGGGGCTAGACTTGTCGGTTCGTTGTCCCCCTCTTGGGGCTGTCTTGGGGCCCTCTTGGGTCGTCTTGGGCGCCTCTTGGGCCGTCTGGGGCGCCCTCTTGGGCCGTCTTGGGGGCCTCTTGGGGGCCTCTTGGGCCGTTTTGGGGCGGTCTTGGGGGCCTCTTGGGCCGTCGTCAACGCCGTGAAAGGCGAAACGCCGTAGATGCTAAAAATCGATATTTGCGTCGGGCAAATCGATGATTTCGGCCTCTTGGGGCCCTCTTGGGACGCCCCTTGGGCGCCTCTTGGGGGCCTCTTGGGAGCCTCTTGGGCCGTCTTGGGCGGTCTTGGGCTCTCTTGGACTGCTCTCTATTGTTTTCAAACTCTCATTTCGCTCCTCCTTTGCCTCCTTCTATCCTCTCCTATCCCCATATTTCTTCTTTTTTTTCTTCTCTTTCTTTTACTTTTTTCTTTTTTTCTCTCTTCTTCCTTCTTTTTGTTTCTTTTACATAATGTTTGTTCTTCCTCTCTCTCTCACTTACCTAACTTTCCTCCCTATTTATTCCCGCATCTTCTTCCATTTGCTTATCACCCCCCATGTCCTTACTCTACCCCTCTTATCCTCTGCTGCTTCCTCTCGCCTAGTTACTTCTCTTGTCCTTATATCTTTGTTTCTTGTTTCTTCACTCTCTTTCTTTTTCCTTTCGGCAGTCTTTGGAGGCGTATGAGATGATTGGGGAAAACCATACAAAAAACCCTAGGGAAAACCCTACAAATATGACCATTAGACCCCGCCTGTGCGCCTCGCCCCTCCCCTGGACCCCTCCATAGAAGGGCTTCGCCCCCTGCTCAACGTCACTCGCTCGTACCTCGCTCTTTCCGTCACCTGGGCCGGCACGGAAACGGAAAGAGCGCCTCAAACACATTAACCGAAGTTACTCACACCACCGTTCGTACTGGGAGGCTTGGCGTTGAGAGCTTGTTACGTCACCCCTCGCTCCTCCTCCTCCTCCCGTACCTCTTCTCCACTTCCGCTTCCTCTGTCCTCCCTTCTGCTTCCTCCATGTTCACTCCCTCGATTCCTCCTCCCCTCCGTCCGCCTCTTCCTCCTCCTACCTCCTCCTCTTTCCTCCTCCTACTCCTCCTCCTCCTTCCTCCTCCTCCTCCTCGCTTTCTCTCCCCAACTACCGAGCACTATTCAGTCCTCACTCCCTTCTCCTCCTTCCTCCACCTCTTCACTCCTCCCTGCTCCGCCTCCTTCGTCTCTCCTCCCTTCTTTTCTCCTGCCCTCATATCCTACCTCGCTCCTCCTCTCTCTCCTCCTCCTCCTCCTCCTCCGCCACCGCCTCCGCCTCCGCCTCCGCCTCCTCCTCCTCCACCTCCTCCGCCTCCTCCGCCTCCTC